TTTCATGGCTAAGGTATAGAACTAGACTAGAATTCACTGTCTCCTGGTGATTGACCCCAAAGTCACCGAGCTGGCCTTCAGGCCTAAGGTGGGACTAGAATTCACCGTCTCCCGGTCTCTAGCCCGGTGCCTTAACCACTAGACCAAATTGGCTCTCCAAGTATGGCTCTGATGTCCCCAGGAAAGGTTCTTTATCATTACAATGCCCGTCCATGCCACATGCCCACCTGGCTCACAAAAAGCAGCCCCAGGAGCAGATAAGAGCAGGGAGAACTGGCAGCGGGCCGGAAGGTGAGGCCAGGTGTCAATAAAGGACAAAAACCAGTCCTGCCGCCTCTCAACCTTTGCTCGGAAAACACGAGTTAAACATTAATCACCCGCCAAGACGTTTAAACTTGACCTGAAGCCAGCCAGCAAATATAGAGCCTTCCCCCATCCAGGGTCTCCCAATGCCAGAATTCTCAGCAAGGGTGTTTTGTGGCTGGGGAATTCTGGGAGTTTAAGTCAGAATAGAGCTGGAAGGAACCTTGGAGGTCTTCTAGTCTCACCCCCTGCTCAAGCAGGAGATCCTCTACCTGTGACGGTGAACCTATGGCACGGATGCTGGAAGTAGCATGCAGAGCCATCTCTCCAGGCAGGCCAGCCGTCACCCGTTGCTCTTCCGGGTTCCGGCCAGCTGGTCTTCGTGCGCACAAGAGCACCGGAAACCAGAAGAGCAACTTCCCCAGGGCGCATGTGCACGCCAGCCAGCTGGTGTTCATGCGCGCATGCATGCTGGCCAGCTGGCCTTCGCATGCGCGGGAGCAGGGGTGGGATTCTACCAGTTTGCACCTATTCTCTAGAACCGGTTGTTAACCTTCTAAGCAGTTCGGAGAACCGGTTGTTAGAAGAAATTACAGGGCTAATCCTGTAAGGAAGGCAGGAAGGAAACATTCTGGTGTTACTCACAGAAACTGCCTCTCCGTTAACCCTTATTACATTCTTGGCAGGACTAGACTTCCTGTTTCAAGAACATCTCTGGAGTTTCTTTTTCCCTCCTTTGCTGATACTTTGCCTGTGTGGAATGACCATTCAAAGTTACAATGGCACTGAAAAAAGTGACTTATGACCATTTTTCACACCTACGACCGTTGCAGCATCCCCAGAGTCACGAGGCCAGGCGAGGAGATGCGTGCCTCAATGTGAGTGATATTGAGTTGGCCACACCCAGCCAATAATATGACCACCAAGACACGTCCACCCAGTCACATGACCACCAAGCCACGACCACCCACCTAAGCCACGCCCATGGAACGGGTTATTAAAAAATCTGAATCCCACCCCTGCGCGGGAGCACTCCCCGGTGCGCATGCATGCAACCAGCAAACTGGTCTTCCCATGCACATGTGTGTTATAAACCAGAAGACCAAGTGGCTGGCGCGCATGCGTGCACCAGGAAGCTGAGCTTCCGGTTTCCGGCGCTCCTGCGTGGCGCGCCAGGGAGGTGCTCTTCCGGTTTGCGGTGCGTGCACGCTCCCATTTCGGCACTCGATGCCGAAAAGATTCACCACCACTGTCCTATACCATTCCGGAGAAATGGCTGTCCAGTCTCCTCTTGAAAACCTCCAGTGATGGAGCAACCACATCTTCTGGTGGCAGGTAGTTCCCCTGGTTAATTGTCCTCACTGTTAGAAAGTTTCTCCTCAATTCCAGGTTGCTTCTCTCCCGGGTTAGCTTCCTTCCGTTGCTTCTTGTCCCAACTTCAACTCCCAGAATTCCCCAGCCAGGAGCTCCTATCCCAGGAGTGTCAAACTGAAGGCCCACAGGCTGGTCCGCGGGGTGCTTAAATCCGTCCCGTGGGGCCAGCCTGGAAATACCAAGGGACCGGCCCACGGTGCCTCTGGCGGCAAAAGTGGGCTGCGTGTCCCCACTGGCACCTTGTTGTCACCTTCCATGGCCTCCTGCAGCACTCTGCCAGTCTGGAAAACTGGCCCAAAACAGCCCCCCAAAAAGAGGCCCCCCAAAAGGCCAAAAAAAATGGGCCCACAACAGGCTGAAAAACAAGCCAAAGGTCCCCTGGAAAACAGGCTGAAAAACAGGCCCCAAATGGGTACAAAACAGCCCAAAAAGGCCCGAAAAAATGGCCAGCGGAGTGCTGCAGGAGGCCACAGAGGAAGAAAACAAGGCACAGGGGGGTCTGAGTGCGAACCCTCTCCCCTCCCCCGTT